AGAGGACGAAGAGGACTCTTCCAGATCCAAAAGGCCAGCGTGACCTTGATGTCCGCCATGTAGTGCCATGAGCGCCTCCAAGAACTCCTCGTAGTAGAGACTTTCCCTCACCAGGTAGGCATTGATGTTCTCGTGCCTCTGGCGGCGGTAGTTGAAGTACTGCTGAAGCACCGCAGCTGTGTTAGGAAGCTGCTTGCGCACCAGCGGGGATTGTTCCAGCTTGTTCAAGAGATTCTGCACTCCGTGGGTGCCGGAGAGCTCTTCAAGGCTCCATGACATAGCCAAAAGCCTTGCTGGTCCCGTGAGGCGAGCGACAAGGCGAGCTCCAAGTAGGGACCTTTGGTTCTTCTTTGTTCCCATGGTGTACCAAAGAACTTCTCTCTTTGATACCGGCGCCATCCTCGAGGGTTGCCGTCCCAGGATGGGATGGTCTCAGCCACCTGCTTGCCCTCCATGGAAGAAAATGGCGAAGGCAAGGAAGAGAATCGCCTCTTTGAGCCAGGGTGCAAAATGAAGACCTCGTTGAGGTACAGGAAAAAGTAGCCCTGAACTTGTAATGGATGAAGTCCAGGAAAAAGCTATGGACGTAGTCCCAAAAGGAGAAAGTCCAGGATGTCAAAGTCCTGGATGTAGTGTCACTCAGCCCTGACGTCGCCGTTGATGGCCGACCGGAAAATAAGGATGCCCAATCACAGGCTCTCCTGAAGGTAGCACCATGTTGAGACGTCCTCCTTCCTGGTCCCAACGTCCAACTCGCGTTGGTCGAGCTTGCCGAGGATCGCTATCGAAGATGTCCCAAAGAGCCGCTGCCGCCCGAAGGTGTTGTGCTCGTCGGTGAAGGTCCTCACCAGGTTCAGGCTCTGGATCAGGCTCCGGGCGATCCCGAGGTCGCGAAGCCCTCGCGTCCACCTGTGCGCGAAGCTGCGGGGTGAAGATGTCGTAGGGTCGCGGACCTCTAGGCGGGGATCGGGATCGGTCCCGCGCTGTCTCCTCCGTGGTTGAAGTCACCGTCCAAGGTGAAGACAACCTGGAAGGATCGCACGGTGTAGGCCGCCACGAAGCCCCAGGCAAAGCTCCGCTGCCAATGCAACGGGATAGGTCCTAAACAACGAGGGGACCCAACCGCAAAAACCTATGGCGCGCTCCACAAAGGGGCCGAAAGCACACGAAGGCCGTACCGAACGGCCTAGCACCTTTTCGAGGCGAGCCGGGGCTCAAGCGCTGCGGGGAAAACAGTGCATGTCGCACATGAGACAAATCATATGCCGTCGCAGCTCCCTAAAAAACACCGTGGTTGTGGATTCTGAAGCTGTGAGATGATGTGAGATGTGTGACCTGAAGCTGCAGATTTGTGGAAGCCCTAAGATTTGTGCCCAAACAGTGCACTTTTCCTTCTAGACAGCTAACTGCTAAACTATTCCAGGGTCGATCGCATCAAACCCACCACTTGGATTATTTTTGTCGTTGGTGGCTCTCATTGCTTGCGGTGTGGACTGAAATAATTCCAGGGTGGGTTTGATGTGATAGACCCTAGAATAATTTAGCAGTTGGCTGTCTGCTGAACAGTGCCCTACAACAGGAGGCAAACTTGCCATTTTGGGGCACATATCTTGCGCAATCTACAGCTTCAGGTCACACGTCTCACAGCTTCAGGGTCCACAAGAAAGATGTGGCTGGGGCGCCTATGACCTAGGAGCCCTGATCTGACTGTTCCCAAGTTTGGTTTCTCGCTGTCCTGGAAGTCACAGGTTCTAGACAGCAGATTTAAGTCTAGGGCGGCTTTGATGTGATCACCCCTACGCACTGGGCGTTTTTCACAGTTCCACAGATCTGACAGCTCTCTTTTCTCGTGAGACCAGTTTTATTTGGTTGGGTCGCCTATGACCTGGCACCCCTGATCTGACGGTTCCTGCTCTGTGTCTACTCCCAAGTTTGGTTTCTGGGGCTGGCTTCTGGCGTGGCCTCGCCGTCCTGGAAGTCACGTGGGGAGTTGCTGATCTGAAAAGTTCAGCCGTTTTGCCGCGTGTTGGATCCCCTGACGCGACCGAGGAGGAATCAAAACGCAGAAGATCACTGTAGAAACTGAACCTGTGTTGTGGAACGCGTGTAAGATCACTTATAGACTGCAAGGCAGACACGGCTGTAAAATGCTGCAAATTATTCCTGAAAGGTGTTCACATCTGGAATAATTTTTGGCCAGGTGTAGGTCCACCTGGGGCCCCATCCACCCCGGGGCCCCAGGTGGGAGGCCCCATTTACACACACTGTGTTTTGGAGCGGTGGTCCCATTGATTCAAGATATTGATGAGCTGTTAAAATGAATACTCTGTATTTTGGAGTGGTGGTCCACTCATTCAAGATATAGATGAACTTCTAAAATGAATACTCTGTATTTTGGAGCGGTGGTCCACGGACTTTTTACTTATATAACACATCTGAACACATTCTTAGCGCGTTCTTAACACATATGTGTTAAAAATGTGTTCGCGTTTTGTTTCTTTACTTAACACATTTTAACATATTTTAACACATTTGTAACACATATGGGTTAAGAATGTGTTCAAAGTATGTTTGTATGTGTTCGGCTGTGGTCCAAGCAGTCAAGACCTTTGGCCCTCCTCTTTGCGCACTTTCTCGGACTCTCAGCCTGGAGACACGCCACAGGTTGTTTGTGAGACTGAGTCTCCGATGGTCCAGAAGGCCCCTGAGTCTGGGATGGTCGGGACGGTCCGCCAGCCTGGTAGTATCTCACAGGGAGCACTGTGATATGCCTCCTGTGGAAAATTGGTTCCTTCTCTAGGTTTGCCCTTGCGGTGGGCAGTGGGCCACCCACAGCTTTGTGTGTATGCTGTGTGTGTGGTTTTGTGGCGGTTGTCCATCCCTTCAATAAACACACATGTTTCCAATACGCGGTGCTCCGCGTACCTTTTTCCAAGCCTTTTAGTCGTTTGACTCATACTTGTGATTTCCCATATTTTTCAATGTACTTTTCAAGTTAGCTAAGTTACAAAAGTTATTACTAAGGTTTAAATTGTGTTAAGTTAACTATGATAACTTAATTATAAGTAATTCATATCTCCCAAAACTATACTAACTTAGTTATAAGTATCTTAACTTGGCGGTAGGCCACTGTAGTAGTGCTAGTACGAACGCTACAAGCGGAGCGGGCCCCGCGTAGAAGGCGTTGTCGTAGGCGTTGCAAGCGTCGTCGTCGTCGTCGTCGTCCTCCTCCTCCTCCTCAGTAGTAGTAGTAGTAGTAGTTGTTGTTGTTGTTGTAGTAATCGTCGTCGTCGTCGTCGTTGTTGGTGTATTAGTCGTACTTGTAGTAGCACTAGTATCAGTAGGACTAGTAGCGCTGGTACGAGTACTACAAGGGGAGCGGGCCCCGCTCCCCTGCGCCAGCCAGGCCATAGTCTCAAGACGCACTGCAATCTTTCAAGGACTATGGCTGACATTATCTTTTGGAAAGGCCAGCTTTTGTGTCATTGCTGCAAGCTCAGCAGGAGTCAGGTGATTCCATCTCTTTCAAAAGACGAGGGAAGACGCAGCAAAAAGAGTTGGTGTGAATGTGGGATTCTTCGTTTTGGGAGACAACATTGGGTTTGCGTTGTCTCACTGATTCATCGGGCCTGAGCTTCGGCGCTGGTGCCGCTGCAGGGTGCCGCAGCAAGGTGCAGGTGCGCTTGGGAGCTTTTGCGCAGGGTGCTGCTGCTGGCGCTGCGGAAAGGTCATTCTCCTATCTGGAGTCTACGCTGGCGCAATTGCCTAGATAGCGTGAGCTATTGGGTTTCCTGTTTCAAGTATAGGAAGAGCTGCGTGAGCTTCGGTGCTGGTGCCGCTGCAGGGTGCCGCTCCTGTGCGCGCTTGGGGCCGCTGCTGCGCGCTGGCGGCGTTGCTGCTGGTGCTGCCGGAAAAGTCTTTTTGCTATCACGAGCTTTTGGCTTTAGATGATCCCGTTTCGTGTCCAGGTCAAAGTTTGCTGGACGTTTTTGTTTCCAACTCAGACTTGCCTAGAATTGGCTGCAGAGGTTGTTGGCTGATGTGCCTGACATGGGACCGATCATTTGGAAGTTGAAGCCAAGGCGGAAGAGTTCAAGGTCCACAAAGCATTGCGTTTGCCAGGAAATCTTCACTTCAAGGTTCACTAGCGCTGCGCTTGCCAGGAAATTTGCGTGCCTGCCACGCAGGCTAAGACTCACACCGCGGAGCCACGCCAAGGCGATTTGCAGCAAGAGCATTTCCAAAGACGACGTCAAGATGCCAAAATGTAGGTTTCGCTCAAGACTTCGTCCGATTTCTGAAAACGAACCACATGTCCAAAAGTCACGGTTCACTGCGCCTGCCACGAAACCAGGGCACGCTGAAGACCACCACCATGATGAAAGCACGAGGTTGCCCTTGCGCCTGCCACGAAAAGTGATCTCCAAGTCAAAAACACCGGGAGCGCAGCCCTGAAGAGCGCCCGCGCTGGTCCACCAGACTCTGCGAGCCTGCGCAGTCGAAATGCATTTCGAAGATCTCGAGGTGAATGAATGCACTGTAAGTAGCAACAAATTAGCGGACAAGGGCGCGAGCACTTGCGATCAAGCACCCGTCCTCAACCCGTACCGGAGGAACCCCATAGTGCGGACACAATGCTTGGGTAAAAGAGTAATGGTGGCAAGAGCGATGCCAAACAAGACCTGCTGTGCAAGTGTAGATGCTCAATGAACCAGTTCATGTATAAGCGGTGTCCGAAAACATCAAAGAGTTGAAGATCGCTTATATTGTCCGCACTTTTCTCGCACGTGCCAACAAAGTTGGATAAAGTGCGCAGGTTCCAGGTTGTGTTTTGCATTTTTACGACACCTCGCTAAAAATCGAGTCATGGGTTGATTGATATCTTGATTGGGAAAGTATAACATTCCTGGCCCTTTGCATACCGGCTAGACATGCCTGAGAGAATGCACGCAAACACTTCCTAATGCAGATTGCAGATCGCACCAAAACGACACTGCCAGGACCCATTGGTTGGAAAACTCATTTGCTACGCTCCAGGTGAAGGCAGGTTTTGAGGGTTTTCAATTTGCAAAAACACAACATGTCAAAGGCTGAAGGTGTAAACAACACATGGTTTCATGTCATGTTTGACGTCAGTTTTCTGAACCTCCATGCCGTTTAGATACATATGCAGGCGATGATGCTTTTCAAACCTGTCGCAAACGGACCATCACAGCCCTTGACTCCTACATCATTGACGGCGTTGGGTTCTTACTTACTGAGTTTTTGTGAGCATTTTTGAGAATACACTATGAAAAATCAAGATTTATGCATCTTGAGAATACAGCCAAATGCGCTAGATGATAGAACGGGACCATACAGGACCTACGCGAAAGTCATCTAATGATTTTTCATTTTTTTGAGTTTTACCGAAAGCATTGCAGTCAACTGCAGCAAAGGGAGGCAAAGGGTCCTTGCTGTGCTCACCAAACAAATCGTACGTCGCAATGTGGCCAGCTCATGCTTGTCTGAGACGTGCCCTGTGGAACCGGAGACTGCACGTTTGTTTGAGATGCATTGTTTGCACTTTGCCATTGTAGCGTGAAAATGTGTTGTCGTTTCATGGTCAGGAAGCAGGATGGATGATGAATGTCCTTCAAAGGAATCGATTGTGACCCCATATGTTATTTGCTAATCATCTAGTATCCAATTTGACAATGAGCAGATTCCTCTATAAGGGATGTCAACCGTCTATTTTTTTTGTAGGGGTTTTGACCCACATCCATTTGTGTCAACTGAGCTACGGTACTACGAGACCCTTAAAACCCACGGCCAAAAGATGCCTGAAGGTCCCACGATCACGCTTGTCTTTGTTAGTGAGTTTTTCCCCTTGCATTTAACAAAAATAAGGAAGCAAGCTGAGAGTACTTGTTGGTACAGAAGCAACGGCTTGAATGAAAGCCTAGCGCCGAAGGAAAACGAATGCGACGCAACACATGTCAAACAATGCACAAGATGCAAAAAGCAAAGCGTTGGCTTGTGGGGAAGAGTGGAGGCTTGTATTCTTTCCTCCAATCTTGTGCTTGCAACGTTTCTCCGCGTGCACCAGAAACAATGCACTGAAAGCTTGCTCTTGTTGCTCAATGTATGAAGGAGTTTTGGAACTTGATGACAAAGGGTCAAGAAACATCTCATGCCACGCTTACTGTCAACAGCACACTTCCGGTCCTGAACAATTCTGCTCGCTGCAACTCCATCCTAGCCACCCGTGTGCAAAAAGGACAGCGCTTGACGCACATTCGTTGCTCGCTGCTAGCTCATGTTCGGCATTGATGTGACAAGAGACAAGATGTTGAATAACATGTATGATGATGTATGATGCAATATATATATATATATATCCTCTATGAAATCATGGGGTCCACGGCCGGCATATTTTGATTCACAGTATATCAAGTATATGTGTGGATTCGGGGGGGTCAGGACCCTGATTTTATAGAGAGACAGGGTCAGAATTAGGAGAAAGGGACACTTGGGGGGGGCACTTCCTTTACGTAGCGGTGGTGTTGGGGATGCTTGTTTTGGCCCTGTGCTTTCTTAGCGTCTTAGCACCCCTGGAAGGATTCATCCCTGCCTCTCCCCTCCCGTTAAGGGGCCACACCTCCCCATTAAACGGCCCGTAGGTTAAAGCGAACTAGCGCCCCAGGAGACTGTCTGTACTGTATCCAGATCTCCCGCCTTCTTCCACCGCCTGGCCTCGGATCGGCAGGAACCAAGGCGGGGCGCCGCCTCGATCTGCCGCTGGCCTCCTCTGAGGGCCATTGCAACTCTTCACAATCTTCACCAACTGGGTAGCCACTCCCATTCAACCTGTTTGGAAACTATGTTCTGGAAAGGCCAAAGAGGCCTTGCTCACACAGGCGGGGATGCCCGGAGAGCAGATGGATGGAGCAGCACCGGCCAGTCACTCAGTCCGTTCTGCAGGTGCTCGCGCCGGGCACGTCGCCCCGGTGGCTGGGCACTATGACCTCTCCTGCTATCCGGACCCGCTGACTTAGGCACCCAAGGCCTCAAGGCATTAGAAGGACATGCTCGAGGCCTTCGTTCCGAACTGATGAGAAAGCTCGAACTTGTGGCACAGGAGAAGCCATTCAACGGGGATCTTGAAGGCAGGACGGCAAGCCGCCGAGGAGATCAAGGTATTGCACAAGGCGAGCGTGAAGGGGTATCCCGGCAAGGGCAAAGGGAAATCAAAGGAATGGCGAGGCCGACAGGAGAAGGATTTGCCGCGCCAAAGCCTCAGAAGGTGCAGGTGTATTGTAAACTGGCGCGTGAGTTGTTTGAGCGGGGACAGTCCACCCTCCGGGAGCTGCAGGTGGTGTGTGGAGGTTTCATTTACATCTGTATGTTCCGGGCGTTGCTGCGCGAGCTAAATGAGGTCTTCAGGCACATGCTGAACTTTGAACATGACACACCAGCGGTACGACTGCCTCTTCCGCGGAGGGTCATGGTAGAGCTAGCTCGTATGATCTTGCTGAGTCTGGAACAGAAGGACTTCAGGGTTGCGTTGGATGGGGCGGTGAGCTTCCACTCAGACTCAGGGTGGCGGCATTTGCTCCTGCAGAGGGGTGACGGATTATGGCCGAGCGGGGCTCAATGCTAAAGTGCGAGGTGACATCCCCGAGGCACAGGATTTAGTTCAGGCGTTGACTGTGGGCTTTCCGATGGAATTGGAGCTCTTCGAGTTGCGTGCGACATTCTGGGCTTACCTATGGCAGTGCATATCAGCGTTGTAAAGGATCCGCAGGGTTGTTGAAAGCTTCTTCCCCGACACTGAATTTTTTGACGACGTTGTTGCCTTTGGAAAGGAGCAAGTTCGTGAGTTAGCGCTGGGTCTTGTCTTGGTAGGAGCAGGCCCCCCATGTCAGGGGGTGAGCGGCCTCAACGCAGACGAACGCAACAGCCTTTTTCTTCACGCCCCCCCGAATCGCCAAGATTTTGCAATTCATTGAGAATGTAGCGTCCATGAACGGTGAGGACCGGCAGGTGATGAGTGAGGCTTTTGAATTGATCCCTTATCGGATCGCTGTTGGAATCTCCCTATGTTCTTGACCTCGTCTGTATTGGGTTACGTGGCCCTTGACTCGCGGGAAGGTGTTGAGGTTGAGGTAGATGGCGGGGCCTCGGGTTGAGCCAGGGCATTTTTTTGGAGCGAGGATGGTCTCTACGAGAGGGCTGCAACCTCCCCACATTCGCTACATCAGCCGGCCGAAGACCTGCAAGCATGGATTCCTGTTCCCCCCCATGAATTGCTCCGATGAATCCAGAGCGATTTCCGATTCCCCCCTTGCAGTATAAAGACACCCATGGTTTGTGGAACAAGAAGGGCTTGTGGTGAAGGGCCAGTGTGTCCGAGCGTGAGTGGGATTTCCATTAGACTGCACGAAGCACTGCGGCCAGAAGTATGAAGACGATAGGCTGACTTTGTTGGGCAATTCATGGCGTGTGGGAGTTGTCGCTTGGCTGACTTTGCAGTTGGTTGTCCCTTTGGGGCAGGGTGGAATTAGTTTCTACCGCGTTCTTATGAGGCCCCCCCTACCGGGACGCCAAGCAATTCACTCGGAGACACCATGGACCTCGATCGCAAGGATGATGGGATTTACCACTGCCAAAGGAGGACTTGTTGGTACACGCGGGCCCACTGCCTAAACATTGCCGCCTGCGAGCTAGTATTTGGACGCCTCTGGCGGCGGAAAGAAGTGAGCGGATGGACTTGGAAGCACGCGGGGGATCACATAAGCCTCCTGGAGATGAGGGCTATATTGACGAGCAGACGCTGGAAGATTCTTCGCGGACGACTTCGCGTCCGTTTCTGCGTTTGACAGACAGCCTTGTGTGTCTGCGCGACCTCACTCGTGATCGCAGCTCTGGCCGAAAGTTGCGTTCTACTACCTTCTGGGGATACATCCATACCTCACAGAACCCGGCCGATCGGCCTTGCCGGCGGCCACAGCGGCGCAAGATGGGTAAATTAAAAAGAGGCTAGACAACCGATGGGGAGCTTACATTCACTCACAATTTCCAGTAAAACGCACGCGTTATGACGCGGCCCGGCAGAAGTTTTATCAGTGGATCGCGGATAATGACCCCTCACTACCTAGAAAGTCAGAGCAACTTGATGGGCTCCTGGCCGGCGGCCGAATATGTTGAATACCTGAATACTTGCTTGCGACACCGTTGCTGGGTTGGAGATTACCACCTCACCTGGAGAATACTTCGAACATGGAGCACAAATCAAATCCCCAACGGGACCCCCCCGAGTGCCACGGTAGGATGGGCTTTTTCCATAGGCATTTTAGCTTCGGAGTTTCCTTGCTGGTTGCATACTATCCCATGCTTCGCACTGGGGAAGTTCTACACCTCAAGAATTCTCACATCTACATGGCTGGACCAAAGCAACCTGCAGCCATATCTTTGGGAATGAGCCGGGGAGGCCGACGCATGGGAGCGCCTGAAAATGCTACACTGTGTACCGGAGACGCCTTGAAGTGGCTACGCGAGTGGAAAACCTCTCATTCTGCTCGTGCCAGTTTGTGTCCCGCTACCTCCACGCAGAGACGGTGCCGCACTTTGGCTTTTGCATCACGGAAACCTAGATTCATTGATGATGGCCGGCCGTTGGCAGGCTCTAAAATTCTAAAACCGCCGAATCTACATTAATGAAGGACTCTCCGTCCTGGCCGAACTTCATTTGCCCCGAGCTAAACCACGACCGTTCACCCAGTGTTTCATTCAGGCATATGGCCGCAACACTTGAGCGCGAGGGGGGGCGCGGAATGGGGCAGCTGAGCCAATTTTCCTCGAATTTTGAAGACTAGAAAGGATCATAGACTGAGCGCGTCAGCTTTAAAATATAGAGAATCTAGGGGTCGCACCCTGCACTTTATGCCTGCAAAATGGCGACCAGGACCCCCCCTGTGGTATTGCAAAATACCTTGAATAACAATTTTTTGTGGACCTGGCAGCTGCAGGCCTAAGCCCTCCAACAGCCGTCAAAAACAGACATGCGACGCTTGTCTCAAAGGGGGGCGCTCCTTTGGTTTACCCGTTGATTGGGTCCCCTACCTCTTTGGAGGTGCCACATGAAACATGGTCCACGCAGTCGACCACCACTGTGTTTCGCCCTGGCACCACGAACCACAGCCCACTTCTTTGCTTGTTTGTGACCTTGCGTTCAATTCACATCCACATCATTTGGTTCTCGGTTTGTTCATCGTTGTCCTCAATCCCGTTTGATTTGTTGCAAATCGTTTTTTGCTTGACGACCTTCTACCTTGACCTTCTTAGTTTTTGATGCCTGCGGTCTTCATTCTAGCGGCATGAGGAAGCTGTGCAGGATCGAAAACGTGCCCATTTCATTGTCACGCAAGCTCAACCTGCTTCAGGGGTTGCGAGCCAGAAAATGCCTAACGCAGACAGAGTCACATGTTCAGGGTGCGTTTAAGACCAAGTTACACAGGCTGTTGAAATACGCCCACACATGAAAGTCTTGTTTGTCGGGACTTTTATTTTGCATCTGAAGGTGAACACCAACAAGCCGACGTTGAGGGGGATCCTTCACCATCCTGAGTTCATCAACAACGAGGCCATCGCTGCAAAGTGCCTCGCACAAAGCAACCTTGCCTCAGTTACTCGTAAGGTTTGATTTGCAGGTTTTGCTTTCATTCATGGCTCGGCATGGGGCTACTTTGGCTGGTGGCATCAGTGTGCCTGTGGCAAAAGGCAGGGGAGGAGTTCCATCAACAAGCCAGTTCTATGTTTGCAGGGTTGGCAATCTACTAGTAGGAGGATATTTTCGTGGCTTGTCGAAATCAGGGTTCTTGAAACTACGTCGTGACTTGCAGCCGATTCAAAACCAAGTGGTATTGTGTTTGGTTGCCAATGCGATCCAATGGGAAACTGTTAGCAGTGCACTTGAAGCAACACATCCACGAATGCAGTTCACTAGGCTGGTGCCTTTGCGGGAATTGTGGGCTCATGAGAGACAGGGAGGGAGGGAGGGAGGGCGACCAAGGAATTATACAGATCTGTAAAAAGCGCCAAGTCAAATCGAATACAGGATAGAAATGTTTGCTTGGATTGTCTTGGATTTGGAGCTTTGCAAGTGATTCACATGCTGTTATTTGATAGCAGTAACATACTGTAACATGTTAACGGACTGATGCAAAGCCAGAATCAAACAATAGCAGCAGTAGCTGTAGAAATTAGCTTTGTCACTCTGGACTCTGGTAAGACTACCGAGTGCTAGCGCAGGCGAGATGAAGCCAGTCGCTGGCTTAGACCACTGGAGCAATTTGGTCACAAGATAGAACTATGGAATAACTTAGACAAACTCGTAAACCAAAAGACCTGAATGAATTCAGTCTTAGCTCAAGAAGGAATCAGGTTTTGAATGGTTTGGAATTATCTTAATCATACGTGGCTGGCACCAGTGGGTGCTTGTGACATGTATATTGCTATACTGTTAGTGGGCTGTTTGACATTCCTTTAATTTCATTTCCATGATCATACTAGATCATAAATGGCATGCTTGGAGGCTGCTCTTCGGCGCCAGAAGCTGCCCGTGATGTCGCCTTTGGAGGCTACAGTTATCCGCAGCTGCGTTGCCGAGGGCGCAGAGGCAAGGGAGCGCCACACAATCACAGCCAATCTCATGCACACGTGTTCATCGCTGTCTCATGGCGGCTCCAATTTGGTGCAGTCCTTGACGTATATTGTATAATTATATACTGTAGATCAAAGACTCCTTGGTGCAGATGGGAGAAACATGGAAAAAACTAAGAAGCAATAGCCGTGTAAAGTGTGCAATGTAGCTGTACGCTGCAGGTGGAGGAGGGTCAATTGCTGGTGCTCCTATCTGCAATGAAGTTGGAGACTGAGGCCGCTGTTGGAATGGAGCAGAGGCTCAGTCATGGTAGAATCTTGGGGCTCCGCATTGTGAATCAAATAAGGGGCGAATGAAACAAATGAAGCATCCGGATCATCCGGCTTTGATTGGCATGCAGAGGTTGATCCGCGTGCCAGACTGCAAGCAACATGCCATAGCACAGCACGATCATGTTGTCCATGTTGTGTGCTTGTCCAATTACTGTAGAAATATAGTTTGGGATGCTATGAGATCACTGAACCTAGGACAGCTTCATGACCCGTTAAAGTTAAAATTGTTAGGTCCTTGGCCTTGATCTTTCCTGGCATGTTCCGAGATTGTATCGTTGTGCCAGGTGCGTGCTCCTCATGCTGGCACAGCTCCTGCCTTGTAATTGTTTGAGGCCAATTTCACAGACAAGCCGCCACGAACACTTGAGGTCTTGAAAGTGGCAGTGACAGAGAACCAAACGGTTGGCTCCGGAGAAGACTTAGTCGCCACTTTGGATGCAGACAGCCATATGTGCAGGGAACAGGACTCATATGTGGGGACATAGAACTAGTTTAGGTCATTCTGCCGAGGTGTTGGATGCATTGGTCCCGGAAGAAGGTGAGGGTGCAGCTTCGGCGACATCCGCTGCAGCAGCTGCCAACCGAATCCGCCAAGGTAGTGGCGGGCAACTCTCGAACCATCCAAAGATGTGCTGACTCGTGCTTTGCGCAGGCAGTTTGACAAGTGTGGATGGCTCAGCTGTTTGGTATGGCAAGACCAGTGGCTCCTTGGCGGAAGCCATGACGACTCACAGGAAAAGACAATGTACAATGTTGTGTGCTGTTGTGTGCTTGCAATTGCTCATACACTGACATAAAATGTTCTTTTAAAACTTTTAAACGGCTGGTCTTTTTTGACACCCAAAACAGCGTCGGTCATGGTTGTCATGAGGCACTGCTTTGTTGCATCAGCAGTGTTGCTTTCTATGCAGAATCATGGAGTTCTTGCTGCATCCCCGCGGTTTGCATTTAACAACCTTGCGCAGCTGAGTCATTTTACTCTTCAGATTTCTTCCAGTTTCTTTTGGAGTTGCTATGAGTCACTGCCACTGCCCTCTTTGGACGGTGTTTCTTGATAAGGTGTTTGACATGGGTCCGCCGTATGTTTGAGATTAGTCTTGACAAGGCTCGCATAGGCAGTTGCGGGTAAACACTAGGCAGCTTCTCAAAAAGAATAAAAACAAACCCAACATCCAGCTAATTACATCCAATTATATACTAAGGAGCCAACATCCAATCAAGTTATACTTTGTTGTTTAAGAGTCAAGCTATGGAGGGATAGATGGCCTGTGCTTCCTTGATTTCTTTCTGGTTTCAAAGGCGCTGGGTTCTCCATCTTTTGTGCCCTAGCACTCTTGCCAGACTTTCGGAAAATCTGAAGATGTCAGTCATGCGATAGGAAGCTTTGGTGCAAACTGCAAACAACCTGCCAAGATGAAGTGCCAAACTTTGGCAAAATCTGAGCCCGCTACAAAACGTGTCGCAAGGAGAATGTATCTTCATGTACCTTTAGTCTTTTGGAAGCTTTGCAGTGCCCAAACCAATCCTGCTGTCATCTCCCGTCAACAAATGGAAAGATGCCATGGGGGCTAAAGGCTGTATGTGTTCTTCCTAAGCTAGATCACAGCTCACCCAGGGGGTGCATGGTTCAACTGTGCTTTTCGGTTACAGCACTCTCGCCCTTTCCGCCGGTGCTTTTTGTCCTGCGGCAAAGCGCATTAGGATGTCAAATAGCAACGCTTGCTCCCCTGGAGCTGCTTGGTCTTGCCTCATCAGTATCGACGCAGAGATTGCAAACAATGGGAGCTGTGTTGGCTCTAAAATGCCCAGAAGGAATTTGCTTTGAACATTTTGGCTTTGTCAACATGCTGTCAATCCAATCAAGGTAGCGTGCGCTACCAAGATCTTCTTTTGGTGAAGGTTGTTGTGGCAGAAGATTTCCCAATCTGCGACTACGCTTGTAAGTAAGTAAAGACTCTGTCCAGGGCCCAACCAAATCCCCGAGTAAAGCATTCCATTGGCACGCGACAATATGTAACTGACAGAATGGCCCGAAGCTTCTACAGACGACCAATGACATCCTAACAATGTGCTTTGCTGTTCAGTTGACCTCAAGAAGCATCCCCCCTCCAACAATGATGATGCTATTCCCTTGTGAGCATCCACCCGTCCATGTGGGCGTTCTTCGCATGGCCATGCTGTAGACTGTGGAGCACAGTACCAGTAGCAAGGAAAGTTCCAAAAGTTCCTGAGTTAGTGTCGAGCATTGGCCAAAGCAAAACATTCAGACCTGGGAACCATTTGCAAACCTGGTGTTTTCTTTTTGCTGTGGCAGCCTAAATTGGCTGGGTGGGAAAGGGTGCCGTCGCCGTCAGATGATCATCGCTTCGTTCAGGATGAGTTGTTTGCTAGTGGAGGTCCGAGCAAGGGCATGTGTAAGCTGTCCACGGCTACGCTCAAGGCCCACGCACGTAAGCCCCCCCGAATCGAGCCCTTTGCAAGAAAGGCATCGAACAACACATGTTTCAAGCTTCAACTGCAATCACAATTTGCATATAAACAGAATGCAATTATAAAAAATGTGTGTATATATAATGTGTGTGGTTCCTGCTCAAGTTGCAAAAGTATCGCCCAAAGCCGTTTGCTTTGTGAGGTGTGAAGCCATGCGAGGGCCCCACCAGCAGCAGTATTCGCCTCCCCCCCACCTCGGCACCAGGATGAGGCAGAGCAGGGGGACGCAAAGGTGCTAGCAATGACGTTTGGTGATTGCCATGCAATTGTATGTGGGCTCAGGGCTCCAAAAAGTTCTATATGCCTGTCATTTTATGTATGTGGGTTGCCAAATTCAATCAGAGGTCGCCCAAGCGCAGCAGTTTTTCCTTCAGAACCTTCAGGCATACATCCAGCGCAAGACGCACCACAGCCAATTGTTGGAAGAGCTGCAAAGCCGTTTGGATACTGCACGTGCTGGTGGAGGCTAAAGCGGGTTCCTTGTGTCCTCGAAACTGTTTCACCCAAACAAGCTCCCATCTATATAGACGCTAGAGATTGCATGCTGATTCTCTTCTGGTAGGCGCTAAAGCCGTTGAGCAGCACCACGCGCGCGGGAAGGCAAGGGTTGAACAGCTGCCATTAAAACAACATGCCGCGTGTGTTAGGAAGTGGAAGTGGAGTCTTCTGTGTTTTGCCTCCCGGAAGAGATATTTCAGTTGCAATTGTGTTTGTTCCCCCACTAGATCTCCGCAGGGCCCATGATGACTCACTATAAATGAGCCTTGTGTGGTGTTACCGGGAATCATCATTTGTAAACCACAATTTGCACATAGCAACCAACTTAAAGATATTGTTTGGTCTAGACAAGTAAGAGCAGTCAGAGCGGGCGCAGAAGCAACATGCGTGTTCAAAATCATGTTCCAAGGCCTGCATTGCTGCTTCTGTAGTCTGTACCAATTTGTTCTGCGTGCACCCCTTGTAATGTTTTTGTCTTTCTCTTGGTGAGTCAACTGGCCCCGGCACGCTTCCGATCAGCAAGCAGTACCACACAAAAGCCCTGAACGGCCCTAAGTCACGACCGGCGTCAAAGCCAAAGCAAAATTTGAGCATTGCCCGCAATGCCAGCAAAAGTTCTCACGCAAGCGAGCCCTTTGTCCTCAATAGGTTTCTGCTTCGCAGTCGCTGAAAAACCGCCTTCTTCCATCATGGCAAATCAGAGGCAAGCCCGTTTGAGAGGTTCTAGCCCGCTCCAGCCAAGCAATGGTCCCACAGTTCTTGAGAGTGAGAGAAACCGGACTCAAACCCGAGAGGGCCCACCAGCTTGATGTAGAAAGCCAGGCCCCACGCAATCTTTGGAGCTGTAGAAACCGCCCTCCAAAAAAAGAAGAGCATGTAAAGGCACAGCCTGGTGCCTTTGCAGCATAGAATCATAGAACAGCACACCAACGCTGCAGCTGAGCTTTCTTGATCTCCAGGTTCCAACCAAGTGCAACTGACCACCTGGTGTCCTAAGCGGCCAAGAGAGTGTATTTTGTCTCTCTATTGGCCAAACTTGAGAAAGAGCTCGTATGAGCAAAGTTCAAGGTGGTTCCAGAAATGCATTAACACTTTACGATCTAGCTAGTACAAGAACGACCTCTTCAACCTGTAACAGCCCTGAGCAAACGGAAAGGCGAAAGGTCGGCCACAATATGGTTTAAATCACAAGGCGTGCACGCAGGTACGTCAGCAAGCATCCTGATATCAGCGCAGCCTGCAGAGCCTCATTGTTCGATGCCCTCTCTTCAGGTGTGGGGCATCCCCCCTGCTACTGCCAAGCAGTTGTGACTCAGTGAAAGATCTCATCATAACTTAGAAAGTGTAGGTCCCTGGAGACGGGTGTTGACACACACTCGAGATATTGAATGCCACATGCCACACGCCCACCTAGGTGTGAAAGCCTAAGGGTGTCAGGTTAAAGGTATGCAATGTACGGCGGCATGACCATGAACCTGAAAGTCTTCACATTCCAAAGGCAAGAACTCGTAGAAGTCGACGAGCGAACGAGCGGCGAGCACTCGTCTGCAGAATTCATTGGCCCTTTACTGCAGAACTCATTAGCCCTTTACTGGAGAGTGGAGTCACAGCTTGGCCAACAGCTCAAAAAAAGAGAGCAGGTACGTCTGGAAAGCGTCCTTTCCCGATATCAGCCAGAATTGCAGCTCTCTTTGTTGGGCAATCAACTGCAATGTGGGATTGCCCCCTGCTAGTAAAAATTCAAAGGCCAGGGCCCCCTGTCATTCCAAGGGCTGCACACACACACACACTTGTAGAAATGCATACAAATCCGAGGTACTTGCCGCTGCATTGGACGCTTACTGCACAACAAAGAATGAGACAGCTTGGCACTTATGTAAGTTTATCTCAAAGCAGGTACGTCACGGTGATCAGCAACGATATCCGCATGTACTGTGGCCGCTTCGTTGGACCATCGCGCACAGTACATGGATGGTCCCCCTGCATTAAAACCGTCAACGAAACAATCCAAACTAGACGAAGGTTGGCCCGAGAGCGAGACAGGTGGTTGTCAAGCACTTCCGAGTAAGGAAATAGTTAAAATCGAGTTGTCCAAGAGCCATGACATCTTTATATTAAGAGAAAAGATATGTAGAAAGAGAGAAAGAGAGGGCGGATGTGAAGGAGTGACAGTGTGGATGTGCAGGTGTGATATAGATGTGCAGATGCGTGGGTGTGTGAAGGTAGAGAGGTAGATCTGCGGATGTGAGCGTGTGAAGATGTAAATGTACAGAGGTGAGGGTGTGTAGGCGCCGTTGCGCAGATGCAACGGCAGCGCAACGTTGTGGGTCTGGAGCGCCAACCTTGGTGCATTTCTCGCTGCGCTAGCACAACGCTGAAGAGGTTCGAATCTCTATAGCACACCAGCGACACGCCGCGTTTACACCAGCGTGTTTCGCGCTCCCCAGTGGCACGGTGCCACGCAACCACCCCCGCCGCGTCAATCCGAATGGCGCTG